TTCTAAGAGTGAAGGCTTCCTTCGCTGCTGCTGCTGCTGCTGCTGCTGCTGCTGCTGCAGGTGAAGCATGGGCAGGCTCGTGTACTGGAGGGTGGTGGCAGCCCCGCTGCTGCTGCTGCTGCTGCTGCTGGGGAGTTCCATGTTCGGGGAGTTCGGTCAGCCTTTAACAGTGGCTTTTGGGCTCATGTAACTGGCGAGTTCAGCCACAAATTTAGGGTTTAGGGTTTAGGGTTTAGGGTTTAGGGTTTGGAGAGCTGAGGTGTACGTACAGCTCAGGAGCAAGCGCTGAGAGGCTCGAGAGCGGCGCCAGCGCAACTCGCTGCCGCCAGGCGCGGCCTAAAATGGGTTTTTAGTGGTTTAAATGAACAAAAATTGGAATAAAATGAATAAACTTAATAACTTTTAATTTAATAATTCAAATTTATCGGGAAAAAGCGGAAAAATCCCGAAGAGTAAACCCCAGACCGCCGGCGCCGCCAGGCTGCGGGTCACCGCAGCGCCGCGAGGCGACGGAGGGAAACGCTCTTGAAATGAACCGCAGATTAAATTAAATTAATTAAATTCAATTAACTTTAATTTAATTAATTCAATTTAATTAAATTAAATTTAATTAAATTGTTTTAATGAGTTTAAACTGAAAAGAAAAGCTCTTACTGGGCTTCAAACCGTGGGGGCTCAAGAGTCACCAGACTGCTGCCTCGCAGATGACAGCCGCAAGTTAAGCGGCAGTTCTTCGTTAAAATTCGAAATTAATTCGTTAAAACAATTAAATAATAATTAAAATAATAAATAATTTAAATTAAAGTAATAATGGCGAAAAAAACGGGAAAAAACCACCAGTTTAGACCCCGGGAGGACTCCGGGGCTCAGCTGCAACCCTAAACCCTAAACCCTAAACCCTAAACCCTAAACCCTAAACCCTAAACCTTGAAAGGAGATCAATGAGGCCTAAACCCTAGATGATAGGTCCTAAACTCTAAACCGCAAACCCTAAACCCTAAACCACCACTTTAGAGCCCCGGTGGCCAACAGAATTTGCGCGCAAAACTAGGCTAAACCCCAAACCCTAAACCCTAAACCATAAACCCTAAGCCCTAAACCCTAAACCCTAAGTCTCAATCAATAAGCCCTTGCCACTTTGCTGTAATCACTAAACCCTAGAAAGCTGAAGTGCCCCGAAAGATAGAAATAGATTTCAAAAGGCTAGATTGGCTGCGCGCGTCCCAGCTGAGCTGCAGCAGCAGCAGCAGCTTCTGCTGCTGCTGCTGCTGCTGCTGCAGCAGTTGTTGCTGCTGCTGCTGGTGCGCAAACAAAGCAGCGGAAAATGCGAATAGGCAGTTAATAATGACAGCAGCATTTCTTTTTGCTGTTCCAGCTGCTGCTTTTGCTGTTTCTGCTGCATTTGCAGCTTCTGCTGCTGCCGTTGTTGCCGCTGCTGCTGCTGCTGCTGCTGCTGCGCAGCTGCGGGCGTCATCTTTAACTTCGGGCCGGACATGCGGAAGACGGAAGTTAAAATTAAATAAAAATTTAAATTTAATCAATTAAAAGGAAAAGAATTGAATTAAATTTAAATCTAATGCTGCAGCAGCAGCAGCAGCAGCTGCTGCTGCTGCTGCTGCTGCTGGTGCTGCTGCTGCTGCTGCTTCTAGCTGCCTTTCCTCCCTTTTTGCTGCCCGCCGGTAACATAATAATATCTCGTTCCTGAGGCAGCACAGCGCATGCAGCAATTATTAATTAATTAAATAATAATTTTATTTATTTATTTGTTTGTTTATTATTTATTTATTTATTTATTTATTTATTTATTTGTTATTACTCATTTGCTTTTGCGCTTCTTTATTTACTTTTGCTCGCATGCTGTCGTTGCTAGAATGTTTTCTGTGGGACCCTGCTGCTGCTGCTGCTGCTGCTGTTGCTGCTGTTGTTGCTGCTGCTGCTGCTGGTATACCTGGTGCTGCTGCTGCTGCTACTATACATGCCCCTGCTGCTGCTTTATACCTGCTAGTGCTGCTGCCGCCAAATCTACTGCTGCTGCTGCTGCTGCTAAATGTTTTCCTGCTGCTGCTACATCCACTGCAGCCGCTGCTGAATGTACTGCTGTTGCTACATCTGCTGCTGCTGCTCGTGCTGCTGCTGCTGTTCCTGCTGTTGTTAGTGCTGCTGCAGCTGCCGTTACATCTACTACTGCTGGTTCCTCTACACCTGCTGCTGCTGCTGCTGCTTGTATACCTTCTGCTGCTGCTGTTTCTTTAGTTGCTACTGTTACTGCTGTTACCTGTACTGCTGCTGCTGCTGCTGCTGCTGCTCTGTCTGTTACTGCTGCTGGTACTGCTGCTACCCCTACTACTGCGGCTGATGATATACCTGCTGCTGTTGCTGCTGCTGCTCTACCTGATCCTGCTACTGCTGCTGCTGCTGCTGCTTTGCCTGCTGCTGCTGCTGCTGCTGCTTACCAATAACTCCGACTTGCACTGAGCCAGTGGAGTCCGCCGTGGGTGGTTTATCGAGGACAACAGCAAAGTAGTTTGTGTTTCCATCTTCTACTGAAAATAAAAGAATTAAAAATTAAATAATTCCTTTTAATTAATTTCAAATTAATAATTCATTTAAATCAATTCTAAAATCAAATAATTCGATTTAATTAATTCAAAGCCATTCGGGGCTTTCTGCGAAGCAAAAAGAAGCAATTTGCTGCTCGCAGTGCATGCAGCAGCAGCTGCTGCTGCTGCTGCAGCAGGGAAGTAGCAGCAACAAAGAAGCGAGGAGCAGCAAATGTCTCATTTTGCTTTTTAATGAATAAAACGCCACAAATTGATAAAGCGTTTGCCAAAAACTTGGAAATAAACAAACTTTATTTGAAATGAGAAAAAGAAATAAATAAAAATATTTTTAATCCCAAAAGACAAAAATAAATATTACGCTGAGGTGTATGTACACTTCAGTGCTAGCACAAAAACAGATAAGATAAAAAATATAAATTTAAAAGGTCCACTTCTTAATTTTTTATTTTTATTATTTTAAACATTTATTTTATTTTTCGTTTATATTATCTATACTACGCTTTTCATTAATATTTTAAGTTTAATTTTATTTACTTCATTATTTAACTTACTTCATTTATTTATTTTATTTATTTTTTATTTTATTTATTTTATTTATTTTATTTACTTATTTTATTACAGCATTTGTATTATTTAAATTACTTATATTGTTATATTATTCAAATTATTCATGCATTTGATATATTTTATTTTTATTCAATTACTGTATTATTTAATTTACTTAATTTATTCAATTTATTTATATTATTCATTTAATTAATTTAACTAATTTATTTTGTTTAATTAATCTGATTAATTAAATTAATTTACTTTTTCATTTTCACAAATGTGAAAAGTCTTGTGTACCTCCAATGCGCTCTCTTGCATTTCAGAAAAAGCGAAAAAGAAAACCAAAAAGTTTATTTTTGCGATTTAAAAAGCAGAAATGAAAATAAAATAAAATAAAACTTTTTAAATATCATAAATGAATTAAAAGTTGCATTTAAAAGGAGAAAAAAGAAGAGAAAAAGACAAGAAAGTGTCGAGTGGCTACTTACAGAAGCCTTCATGAAAAAAAATTCAAAAACGAATTTTTGGAGTTAAAAAGAGCCTTTTGGCTCTTTTTGAAAGCATTTTAAGAATATAAAACGAAAAAAACAAATTTATTCTTTTTATTTCGTTTAATTTAACTCTTTTTTCGCTTTTTTGCGCGAAAAGAAAAGAAAGCTGCAGCGGCGCCACAGCACTGAGCTGTCTGTACACCGCAGGGCGCAGGGGCGCCGCTTCCGCTTTTCGAGGGTTTTGAAACCCTCTTTGAGGGTTTTAATCTTTTATTTTGAATCAAATGAATTTAAAATGAAATTGATTTGACTTTTGTCTCAGTTTAATCCATTGAAACAGATCAAATGACATGGTGAAACGCTACATCTGGGGTGTACGTACAGAACGCCTCTTCCGCCTGGACCTTCACCATCAAAACCATCTCTTCTAAAATTGCTGCACAATCTCGCAAAAACTGAACAGCAGCAGCAGCAGCAGAAGCAGCAAAAGTAGCAGCAGGTGGGAGGGTGCCTCGTAATTTCAGCTGGAGATAGCAGCAGCAGCAGCAGCAGCAGCAACAGCAGCAGCAGCAGCAGAATGGCACACGCTCCAGCAGCAAAAGCAACATCAGCAGCAGCAGCAACATCAGCAGCAGCAGCAGCAGCAGCAGTTGCTGCAGAGGCAGCTAACCGTATCTACAAGCCGTTTTTTATGGCGTTTTGATTTTAATCCACTTGCTATTCGAGAAGTCCAACTGGCTTCAGAGTTTTCCTGAAAACAAAAAATGCTTTTTAAAGTTTTTTATTTTTTATTATTTTAAATTGCTTTTTAGTGGATTTCTTCCTTCTTCTTGTTTTCTAATTGTGTTATTTCATTTGTTTTATTTTTATTTATCTTATATTTCCTTATTTTGTCTCATTGATTAATTATTTAATTTATTTAATTATTTAACTATTTAATTTTATTTTACTTTTTTACTTTCTCTTTTAGTTTATTTCTGCCGCTTCTTTCCTCATTCTTTGATCGCCCAGTCACTTGAGTCTTCCCATTTATTATTGATTTATTTATTTATTATTTATTTATTTGTTTATTTACTCATTCATCTATGTATTTATTTATTATTTATTTATTTATTTATTCATTTATGTATACATTTGGTTATTTTATTTTCACTTCATGGCAATCGAGCAGCTTCTCTTTTGAATTTTTCGCAAATTGGTTTTTTTGTTTTTTGCCAAAAAAGGCTTTTAGAAGATCTTTTAATTGTTTTTCTATTTCTAATTCGATTTAATTCGATTTCGTTCATTTTAAATCGATTTAAATCGCCAAAATCGATTTAAATTGATTTAAATTTGTTCAATTTATTTAATTTATTTAATTAATTTAATTAATTTAATTCAATTCATTTCTTTTTCTCACCAGCTCGTCCACAGTCAGTTTCAGCATCAGCAGCCCACTGCCGTCGGAGAGCGGCCAAGACACTTCTGTACTTTCTTTGAAGCAAAAAATGAAATAAAAATAAAAAAAAAATTAATTAAAGAAATTAATAAATCGATAGACAGATAAATGGACAAATAAACAAACCAATTAATGGAAGAAAAACGCAAAAAAAGAGTAATAAATAAATGCAAAAAGATAAAATCAGTAAAACCAATTAATGATTAAAAAGGGCTTTAACGAAAATTCAACGATTTCAAATAAATGCACCTTTATAAAAGTCCATTTAAAACAAAAAGCCAAATTAATTAAAAGTACTTTATTAAACAAACTTTGTTTATTTTATTTTATTTTATTTTATTTTATTTTTATACTTTTGTGGTAGCTATGTACATTGCATAGTGATATTTATTTACTCATATTCGTAACTCTGTATTTATTTACTTATTAATTAATTAATTAATTAATTAGTTGATTAATTATTTAATTGAGTTGAAATGAATAAATTAATTTAACTTGAAATGAGTTAATTTAATTCAATTTAATTTAAAATTAAAAATTAAAAATAAAAACTTACTTTTCAGAATCCCCTCATGCGGAGAACAAAGAGACCCCACAGTGTCCACAAGTCCGTCTAGAGCTTTCCGCAGGCGTTTGCTGCCCTGCGCCAAAACCCTAAACCCTAAACCCTAAACCCTAAACCCTAAACCCTAAACCCTAGAGACTCTAAACCCTCGGCCCAGACCCGTAGCAGTCAGCCCGCGCTTCGCTGCGCGAATATCTCAACCCCCAAACCCTCATATGACCCCAAACCCTAGACCCTAAACCCTGAACCCTAAACCCTAAACCCTAAACCCTAAACGCTAAACCCTAAAGGCCAGCCCCAATTCAACAAACCCCCCTCCTATCCATGCGTAAAAGCCCCAATTGAAATAATTCAGTAAATAGATTAAAAAGAGAAAAAGAAAAGATAAAAAGAAAAGAAAAGAAAAGAAGAAAAAGAAAAGAGAAAAAGAAAAAAGAAAAGAAAAGAAAAAAAGGAAAAGATAAGGAAAAAAGAAAAGAAAAAAAGAGGAAAAAAAGAAAAAGAAAAGAAAAGAAAAAAGAAAAGGAGAAGAAAAGAAAAAAAGAAAAAGAAAAGAAAAAGGCGTGAGACCAGTGGACCACTGTTGCATGCGGATGGACCATTTTGGGAGAAAACGAAAAAAGAAAAAATAAAAAAAGAAACAAAAAAGAAATAAAATAAAATAAATTAAAATCTTTCCTTTTTACCTCTTCAGTGTCCAAAAAAAATTAAAAAAAGAAATAAAATAAAATAAAACAAGCTAAAATTAAATTAAATTCTGTTTAGCTATCCATTCCCCAACAAAAGAATAAAAGGAGAAATAAATAAAATAAAACAAAACAAATTGGATTAAATTAAATTAAATTAAATCAAATCAAATTAAATCAAACTAAATTAAATTAAATCAAATCAAATCAAATCAAATCAAATTAAATTTACTTCATCATCTCCCAAACGGGAGAAAGGGTATGGGGCCCCCAAGTCGGAGTAATGGGGAGAAAGAGGATTTCCAACTTCGACAGAAGTTGTGAATTTGTGGCTGTCTCCAGGGTCCACGAAGGAGGCCCGGGGCCCCCCAGCAGCAGCAGCAGCAGCAGCAGCAGCAGCGGCGGCGGGCGGCGGCGGCGCAGCGGCGGGCGCGCGAGGCCGCGGCGGCGCTGCTGCAGCAGCAACTGCAGCAGCAGCAGCAGCAGCAGAACGGCTGCAGTCCGTCAAACTCTCCAACATGCAAAATACCACTCCCAAACAAGACATTGACAGCAAACCCCTCAAGAGGGGCCCCTGGGGGCCCCCCCTCCTTCCCCGCAGCAGAGAGTCCTCCTCGGGGGCCCCCTCCCGCTCTTCGGGGGCCCCCTCGGCC